TGCAACAACAAGTACCATGTAAATATGTGATTACTCATCTCTAGATACTTTGTTATACAAACATACAATCACTTATATTCATGAACATTATAACTAAGAGTTTATGATATCATGTTGACTATATCAAATAGAACATATGCTATTCAACAAACATTATATGGAGCTATATGCTTTCATATTATATAAAATCTCGTGTTTAGTATGAACTAATATAAGCCATTATAATAGAATTAAACCAAGATTAATATATTATATAACTAGATGTGTTGATAGAGTATATTAGACAACAACAAATGCATATCAATAAATTATCAAATGCTATAAAATGAAAAATGAAAAATAATACATGATATAAATAACAATATATAGTCATGCAAATAACAAAGCCAATTGTATTAATAATAACAAATATGAAAAAATTAATAGATAACATAATAGATCCTGTGATCATAAATAATCATATATAAACATATTTTGAATTATATAATTCAAACCATAATAGAGGAAGCGTAGGAAAATAGATTGCACAATTCAAAGTGCTATATATCCATGAAATATGCATTAGGATGGCTATATGATGTTCCTCATGCATATCATGTAAAAGGTAAACCACTCGTAATAAATCCACTCACATGATCAATCATTTCAATATAAGTCATATACATAACACCATACATGCTTAGAAGTTGTAGGGGGTGCATGACATGCTAGGATACCCCCACTTAATAAAACATTATGTAAGTACGAATGCATATGTAACATATTCTGAGAGTTTATCTTTGTATATACCATGGAAATTTGATAAATGCATAGAATAATAGAAAAATGAATGAATACTACGATGTAGCTTCCATGATATAATGATTATTGATACTAAAATTTTAAGTTGATTGATGGTGTTATATCTCAAGTTGGTAACTTCCCTCACTAACCTTGCTCTTGAATGAAACCCCAAAGACTTTGAAATTAGACCATCTTTCTCCCTCTCTTTTCAATCCAATGAATGGTGAATGAAATGGAGTGAAATTTGCTTAAGACTATACATATAAGAGCAATATGGTCATACATTATACATTTTTTAGTATAAATTCGTGTTTTACAAAGAAAAAGAATATCCATCTTATTTATGAAAAAAATATGCATAAAAAAACTACATGAGGTCAGGATCATTCCTACAAAAATCTTTCTTGAACCAATTATCAAAGAGCTCTAAAAACTTCAATCATACATGGCTATGTTAATTTGTTGTACCGCAATTCAAAAACGTTTATAATACATTACCGATCTAATAATATGCATTATTGGTATAGATTGAAAGCTACATAATTATATTGTGGCATGCATTTGAAAGTAAACTTAGATTAGCATGAAGCTTAATACATGCATACTAACTTAACTCAGGTGTGGTTTAAGATGATACTTTGGCATATCAACTTGAAAAATAAGAAGTGGATCTCAATTTTATATCAATAAATTTTCTTGCACAAGTTTTATTTTCATTTCTTATGTCTCCAACAACATAGCCTACATCTACAATAGTAGCAAACAACATTGGTTTTCACTCTGCAGCTCGAAAATGGTGCATAAGCTAATTTACCTGAGTAATTAAAACTAATTTTGTAACATGGACAAATTCTAGGCCGCAAGAAATACATGCCAAGTGGGGAAAAATTTAAGAAATGCAATCTCATGTTCATATCAAACCTATATCTTCATTATTATATTTATGTTTATTACTTGTTAAACATATCTTTACAATTTATTATAAAATGAGAAAACATCATAATTGTCATTAAAATAGATGGATACGATGAACTGATTTTCTTCCTTAAATTTCACTAATAACATGTGACATAGGAGCATTTATTTCCCGCGAAACCACGATCTTGATTGCAAATAATTCCACGATAAGCGAAAACAAGGATCTTGTGATAATTGGTTCTGACAAAGGGTCACCAATTTTGGATTTCAACATATTTTTTTCTTTCTTTTTCTTTATTTTCTTGTTCATTCCAACTTATCAATTTTCTAATTAGGGTATTTCTATTAGGAGATTATTTATGTGTTTTTTTTTAAGATAACTTTTGACTGTTATTATTATATTTGGAGACGTGGTTCTCTATTTTATGCTATTAGAAGTGTTGTATCATTTCTTTTTGCAAGTGACGTGTATGTATATTGCTCAGGAACTGGTGATGAACCTCCTTGTTACCCATACCATATTTTTTCATCATTTTTATTGTTATTTAATTAAAGAGAATCGTTGAACAACTCAAATCTACTACCCAATAGAAGATTTTGTCGCTTATCCATCTCTGGCTTTCGTCATTCATTTGCTATTCCTCAACAACCTACACTCTAAATTTATTTCTTAAAAAGCTTCTAGGTGCTCTAGAATGGTATCATTTTATATTAAAGCTCAACAAATCCTAGATTTTTAGAGATTTATCTCTTTTACCCCAAATTCAAAATTCCAATGAAAAAAACAAAACATCAACCTTAGGCCATACCCAAATCATTTCTACAGCAATTCCTTGCCCAAGCCCCAAATTTTTAAAATCCAACATTTCTATCTTCACAAAAAATATAACCCGACTCCTAACACCAAAACCTAAACTCCCAACCAACTTTTGATTTGCAATCCTACATCTACTTAAATCCTGATCAGGAGAAAATGATGTAATGTCCCAAGAAGAAACCTTCCACAAGGTGTTCAAGAACTTATTATAGATGATATACGACGATAAATCCTCCAACTAGAATAGAGGCTTTCTGCCTTTGGGAGGAGATTAATTGTTGAGGACATCCATAATCAAAATGTGACTGACCTAAATCAAGAGGAGGAAGTGAATCCCTTTTATCAAGAAACTTTAAGTGAAGAACACTCGATGTTAATATCACAAGAATCTAGGATCCTAGAGTAACAATGGATTTATCAAATTTTGACAGTAGCGTGGATCTGGATGCGTTCATCGAGTGGCTTTCAACAATAAGAGTCATTTATTACAAGAACATTCCATTTGATAGAATGGCCAAGCTAGCTACTATTAAGATAAGTAAAATACTTCTTTGTAATGGAAAAATTGGAAGTGCCTACGCCAACATGAGGGAAATAGCAAAATCACTACCTGGTCTAAGATGGAAATAGAGATGCGGCGCAATTACTTTTCTTTGCATTACAGGAAAAACTTGTTCTTGAGACCATCACTTATAACAGAAAGATCTCTCAGTCAAGGAGTACATAGTTCGGTTCGAGCAACTTATGTTGAAATGTGAATTGGTGGAGTATGAGGAGAACACTATACCTTGATATCTAAGGTGTTTGAGATAGCCTATTGGCATTGTCATACAATTAAAATCATATTTGACATTACAAAATGTTCATAACCTAACCCTAAAGGTGGAGAGACAACAAAGTGGTATCAGTACCACATCACCCTTCAAACAAAGTTCAACCATCGGATCAGACAGTAAGAGTACATAAGTGAAGCACCCAAAACTACCACATGTAGAGAAACCACTTCAAAATGAAGAAAATCTGAAAATTGCTAGCATCCCCAAATTAGTCCCAGCCAGGAAGTGCTTTAAGTGTCACAACTTTGGGCACTTCGTGTCCCAAACATAAGGGTGGTCCCTTTTACTGAGCAGGGAATAATGGAAAGTATAAACAATGACACATGATGCTTCACAAGGTGGGGACTCAAAGGAAGATTAACAGTTTGTAACCGATGAGGGAGAGATGTCAATTATTCAAGTTGAGTCCATGAGATAGACTTAACAAGATTAACATTGGCTATCCTTACGATAGTGAGTATGAAAAAGTAGGTGTTCATACAAAATTTGAGAATGGGGTATCATGAAGTACCTTTTCAAAGGTATAAAGAGCAACAACTAGACTAACATTGGTTTTTCAAGGAAGCTATGAAGTTGAGGAGTCGATACTAGACACAAGACAATCACAAATACGAGAATTGAAAGATTTTCAAATACATAAACTACCTCTTCAGTTGCCACTCTTGAAGGAGGTCCAACATGTCATTATTTCAAATAATAAAGAGAAATTTTTGAGCTATTTTTTGGAAGACAGAGAAAAAATTCAAAGACAAGTTTTAGTTCAGCTCAACAATGCACCCATAAATAGATGGTCACACATAAGTAATAAATTGCAACTATCAAAATCTCCTTTAAGTATTTTATAAGAAAGAACATTTGATAGTGAGGTCCAAGCTCTTCCAGAAAAAAAAGCCTCTCCTAATTATGAAGAATGACATGAGCATTTTTTTCCTTGCAAAACTACAAGCACAATTGTGAATAATCCCACAATATACAAAATTAGGGATCTTGAGATCTCAGATCCGAATAGAGGGTCACCGGTTTATTATGCCAACATTTATTTCAAGTTCTTTCCTATTTATTTATTTATTATCTAATTAAATTATTTGCATTAGAAAATCAATTGTTTGTCTCTTGCTATTTTGAGACAACTTTTGGTTATTATTATTATTATTATTGGAAATATTATTCTCTATTTTATGTTTTTAGAGTAATGTATATTTCTTTTTGCAAGTGGTATGCCTATATCATGCACAAGAACAAGTGGATCCCTCTCACCACCCATATTTTGCATTTTGACAACTGTTTTTAGTCCAAACAATTGTCAAGAGTGTTGTTACAAGCTATCCAAAGGCCAGTTTCCACAACCAAGTGCAGCATATCCCTTCCCAAACACCTTTGTCTGCCCATGGTAACATTCCCTTGCTTTTCCACAATTACTTCCTCAAAAAACTAGCCTCTTAAACCCCTACTAGGAGGCATCAAAATGCGTCTTCACAATTTGACTATATTTAATTCTAAAAATACGGCTGCACATTGTAAACGAAGTTCAAACATTACAAGGGGAAATACTATATTTATCATTGAAGGAATGAAAACTCTCAAATTTCAGCATTGGTACAAAAACATAGCAGTACTACTTTATAAAAAAACTCATTATATATACAAATAAAAAAAATATCCTCCATCAAATTTGTAAAATAAGAATAGGATAAATAGAGCGAAAACATAAGAACAAATTACATATTATTATCCTTTTAAGACGACTTCATTTCAAATCAATGAAATTGAGCCTATCAGCTACCAAGAACTGCCATGATAGTTGAATTATATCACACAAGCAGAATCTCCTGCATCACAGAGCATGACGACTCTGCCTCCCAGAGCCTGGCTAGACAGGTCTGGCTGGGCCTTTGCGTACTCTTTCTGGACGAATGCAGTGGCCTCGTCAGCCTGATCGGCATCGACGAATGCAAGGCAGCATCCTCTAAAACCTGCACCACTGAACCTCGCACCGAATATGCCAGGAGTCCTCATAAGAATCTCATAGAGTTGTATCATAGGTTCACAACCTGCATTAAGATTATCACCAATATGCTCAATTACAAGTTATATTTGATTATATATTTATTAGGAATGAAAAATTATAAATTCGTGACAACTTTTTATATGATCCTATTATATGCTAAAAGATGTTTGATGGCAAAAGAATTAGCTCTGGATATGCTGAATAAAATTTTGATCAGTATGGGTCTCAAAATCATTGAATTTACTGATGCAAATTTTGATTGATTTTTTGTACATTACACTCATCTCAAAGCAAGTGGAAAAAGATCTATAATCAGGGCATCCTGATACGAAATTTTTGCATTTTAATAGAGTTTATAAAGCAAGAAAATCCATTTAGGAATTACCACACTCATAGTTTTGTATGGAGCTGAGGCCAGAAGCTGCAATCAACTTTCCAAATTCTAATAAATTCCCTGAAGCCCATGCTTTAACTCCTGCAACAACAGAAAAAAGGGGGCAAAAAGGACGCGAGTTCATCACCATGAATTAAGTCTAACAGCGAAAATGAGAATATAAGAGTTGGCAATTGAAATAGGTTCACAAAACTGAGGACATTATCCGTAGCTCAAGAAATAAAAATCATTTGATGGTCAATTAAGAAAGACGCTATATTCTTTTTTGAACTTGTTGTTTCAGTATGAACAAAATATATTTCCCATATAAAGGCCTCTTTCCTTTCATTAGCTATCCTAGTGCAAATAATGGTTTAACCCATTTTTTAAAATTCTATTTGCTTTTATATGTGAATTGATGCCAAATAACAGCTGATCGAACTAATAAAACACATCAAACTATCTAGATGAACAGTTTCGCTATACCGAATCATAAAATAATCTAGATGAACAGTTTCACTATACCGAATCATAAAATAATTAACAACTAGATCATATGGAAACATGAATGAGCATGTACCTTCAATAACCCTCTTATTTTCGGAGAAGTAATGCTCTGCTCTTTTTGCTAAATTTGCTTTTAGTTTGTGCTGAAACAGACATCGTAAAAAAAGTTCAAACACCCAAAGTTGGAAGAGCTGTTGATTGCTTTCAAAAAAAAAGAGCATTCCAGAAACGAAAATATATTTTTTTAAAAGAAAACAAAGAAAAAACATAACAAAACGAAACAAAACTTGAGGTAGTTACAAACTGATAGGTCATAGCTCTTTAAAGTTTAAGGAGTTTTGAAGAAAACTGAGGAATTAGAAAACGTTTGTTTTGTGGCCCCATTTTAGTTACATGGGGGAGAAGAAACAAAGAAGCAAAGAAATAAGAATGAGTCAAGAAACTGAATAGAGGGAAGAGGAAGTGAGAGGGTCGGAAGTCAAGGATGTGAGTTCGCCCTGCAAACCGATATGAGAGGCAGAAGCACTCGTGCGTACGGTCAGAGAATAGAGTAAGAAAAAAGAAGAGTCGTGTGCTTTCTTACCTAAGAAAATAAAGCCCTGCCCTACCAAGCAGCCTCATGTGTTGTGCTCGAGGGAAGAAGAGAATCGCAACATTGTTTTGTTGCGTCGAGCCACGACCAAAGCTAGAGGAAGGAAAAAGGGTGGAGAAGAGCATAAGGCACGCGTGTGGTGTCCATCAAAGAAGTTCAGTGCAATGAAGTAGCAACTCTGTTTTGCAATCAAACCAAGTTGTAGTTTGGTGCATGGCTAAGAGTAGGGAGGTGTGTGATGCTTTTATGCGCATGGATTAGGGCTCGACCTAGGAAGGTATATTTTAATAAAATTTATTTAATTGATTTAATCATAAAATTATAAATATTATTAAATAAAAGTGTGTGTTTCGTGGCTTGTTGGTATAGCAGTCTCTTTGAAGGTCGTAAGTCCCCTCAGGTCACAGGTTCCAATTCCTCGTGTATAGAGTGTGAAATTCGAATATTTAGCACACCAAGGGATGGTCGGTTCGTCAAATAGCCTTCAAACATTTCTTAAAAAAAATAACAGTCATTTCAGATCCCAAGCCTGAATGTGAAAAGTGAAGGGTTGCATTAAGTAGTCGACAGCAAGCGTAAAACTTATAGAAAAAATCATGACATGAATCTTTTCGATCATTATGTAAGTGTTAAGGCGTCCCTTGGAAGCGACACGTTGTACGGTCAGAATACAGTGAAAAGTGTGCAAGGTCCGCTACACAGGTGTTTGGGTGTAGTGTCAAATAAGTAAGAGTTTTCACATTACGGACAAATGCGGGTAAAGAAATTAGTCAATGAAACTAATATTAGGATAGGTGGAATATAGGTACCCTTATTGGTAAATTTATGGAACTAGTTGATATTATGATTCATAAAAAGATAAATATCTTCTATGTTCAAGAAACTAAATGAGTTAGAGAAAATGCTAATGAGATTGATAACTTAAGTTTTAAACTTTGGTATTCAGGTTAGAGTCGCACTAGAAATAGAGTAGGTGTAATTATAGATAAGAGTTTGAAAAATAATGTTGTAAAAATTAATAGAGTTGGAGATAGAATTATAGACCTTAATATTATTGTTGATACTAAGATTTTTAATAGTACAAGTGTTTATGCTCCTCATGTAGGTTTAGATATAGGTTCTAAAGATAAATTTTGGAATGACTTAAAAAACTTAATACAAATGATACCTCTTGAAGAAAGAATTTTTATTGGAAGAGATTTAAATGGATATATCGGTAGAGTGATAGATGATTTTAGAAATATTTATAGTGGCAACGGTTTTGGAGTGATAATGAAGAAGGTAGAGCTATAGTAGATTTTGCTTTAGCGTATGATTTTTTTATTACAAGTGCTAGGGCGTCCCTTGGAAGCGACGCGCTGTATAACCTGAATACAGTGAAAAGTGTGCAAGGGCCAACACGTATCAAATAAACAAGGGTTCTCACACTACGGACGAATGCGAGTAAAGAAGTTAGTCCATAAAACTAATGAAACTAATATTATGATAGAATCTTGAAATTTAGGTACTCTCAATGATAAATTAATGAAATTAGTTGATATTATGATTAATAGGAAAATTAATATCTTATTATTCAAGAAACTACATGGATGGGAGAAAAGGCTAAGGAGATTGATAATTTAGGTTTTAAACTTTGGTATTCTGGTAAGAGTCGCACTAGAAATGATGTAGGTGTAATTATAGATAAGAGTTTGAAAGATAATACTGTAAAAAAATTAATAGTTGGAGATAGAATTATAGCTCTTATAATTATCATTGATACTAAGATTTTTAATATTATAAGTGCTAATACTCCTCAAGTAGGTTTAAATACAGGGTCTCAAGATAAATTTTGAAATGATTTAGAAGACTTAATACAAATGATACCTCTTGAAGAAAAAATTTTTATTGGAGAATTAAATGGTTAAATGGACATGTCGGTTAAATGGACATGTCGGTAGAGTGGTAGAAGACTTCAAAAATACTCATGACAGCTACGGTTTTGGGGTAACTAATGAAAAAAGTAGACCTATTTTAAATTTTGTTTTAGCGTATGATTTTGTTATTACTAATACTTTATTCAAGAAAAGAGATGAACATTTTATTACTTATAAGAGTGAATCTAATAAAACACAAATTGATTATTTTCTTATGAGAAGAAGAGATCGTTGAGATTGTAAAGATTGTAAGGTCATTCCAAGTGAGAATTTAAGTACCCAACATCGTTTATTAGTTCTAGATTTTAAGATGAACAGTTGTAAAATAAAAAATATTAGAACTCATTATCGTAGAATTAGATGCGTGAACCAAAAGCACAAATAAAATTGTTTTTATGAGTAAAATTCAAGATTTCAAAATTTGGGATGTTCACGAAGATGCAAATGTTATGTGGGATAAAGAAACAAACACTATTAAACAAGTATCAAAAGATGTGCTTGGAGAATCAAAAGAAAATATTTTTATAAATAAAAATAATTGGTGGTGAAATAATAATGTGCAAGAAAAAATAAAATATAAGAAGTTATGTTATAAAAATTGGTTTAAATGTAAAAGCTTAGAGAACTGAGAAAAATATCAAACGGCCCGGAAGGAATCTAAAAGAATAATCTATAACGCTAAAAATTCTACTTTTAATGATCTTTATAATATATTAGATATTAAGAAGAGTGAAAAATATATGTATAAACTAGCTAAACAAAGAGAAAAGAAAAGTAAAGATTTAACTCAAGTAAAGTGTATTAAAGATGAAAATCAAAAAATACTTTTCTTATAAAAAGATATTCAACATAGGTGAGTTATTTTGATAAAATTTTTAATGAATTTCCTGAAAATATGATCGACCTTAGTGATCTTAATGTCGTGAATAATAATAAAACATTTCATTTTTACCGTCGCATTAGTAAAAAATAAGTTGAGAGGGCTTTAAAGAAAACCAAAGGTGGAAGTCTGTAGGACCTGATGATATCTCAATTGAAGTGTGGAAATATTTAGGAGATTTGGGAGTTTCTTGGCTTACTAAACTTTTTAATATTACTTTAAAAACTAAAATGATGTCTGAGTGGAGGAAGAGTATTTTGGTCCTCATTTTTAAGAATAAAGGTGATGCACAAGAGTATGCAAAATATAAAGGAATTAAGTTGATGTGTCATACTTTAAAATTATGGGAGAGGGTAATTGAACATAGGTTAAGACACATTACAAAGATTTATCATAATCAATTCGGATTTATGCCGGGCAGGTCTACTATGGAAGCTATACATTTATTGCGAGGTTTGATGGAGAAGTTCAGAGATAATAAGGAGAATCTACATTTGATTTTTATTAATTTAGAAAAAGCTTACGATAAGGTTCCAAGTGATATACTTTGGAGAGTTCTTGAGAAGAAAGGTGTTGATACGACTTATATTCAAGTCATTAAAGATATGTATACTAGAGCTGTTACTTGTGTTCAAACTGAAGGAGGATTGACCAAATATTTTCCTATGTTGGATTACATCAGGGATCGGCTTTAAGCCCATATTTTTTAGCTTTAGTTATGGATGGTCTTACTGGACATCTACAAGAGGATATACCTTCGTGTATGCTTTTTGCTAATGATATCCTGCTCGTAGATAAAACGAGAGAAAAAGCCCAGGAAAAACTTGAATTATGGAGGTCTAAATTGGAGTCTAAAGGCCTTCATTTAGGTAAAATTAAAACTGAATACATGAAATGTAATTTTAGTAGTAGCTCTAGTGACAGAAGTGTGACTTTGGGTGATCATGGGTCTGTTGTTTAATTTAGATACCATGGGTATGTTGTTCAAAGCGAAGGTGATATAGATGGGGATGTTAATAGTAAAATTCAAGTTGGTTGATTGAAGTGGAGGAATGCTTCGGGCCTTTTGTGTGATATAAAAGTGTCGTTTAGACTTAAAGGAAAATTTTATAAGACGGTGGTGAGACCTGCAATGCTCTGTGGCGTTGAATGTTGGCCTTTAAAAGAGAAGCATAATAATTAGTTAAGTGTTGCCAAGATGAGAATGATTAGGTGGATGAGTGGCTTTACACTTAGAGACAAAATGCGAAATGAATATATTCGTGATAGGGTTGGTGTAGCTCCTGTGACGGACAAAATTAGAGAAAGTCGTCTTAGATGGTTTGGTCACATTAAACGTCGACCATCTGATGATCCAATTAGGAGAGTAGATGTTTTAGATTTGACTTGTGTTAAGAAAGGCAGGAGTATACCTAAGAAAACTTGGGCTTATTGTATTAAAAATGATCTTAATTTACTAGAACTAAATGAACTAAATAGAACGCAATGGAGAAAAAGGCTTTGTTGTTGTTGTTGTTGTTGTTGTTATTAAGGCTTTGTTGTTGTTGGTGTATGATTTTGTTATTGTTAGTATTTTATTCAGAAAAGAGATGAGCATATTATTACTTATAAGAATTGATCTAATAAAACACAAATTGATTATTTTCTTATGAGAAGAAGAGATCGTCGAGAATGAAAAGATTGTTAGGTCATTTCAAGTGAGGATTTAAGTACTCAACATCAATTATTAATTCTAAATTTTAAGATAAAAAGTTGTAAAATAAAGAATACTAGGAATAATTGTCGTAGAATTAGATGGGGATACCTAAAAAAGACAAATAAAATTATTTTTAAGAGTAAAACTCAAGATTTCAAAATTTTGAATGTTCATGAAGAAGTAAATTCTGTGTGGGATAAAGTAACAAAAATTATCAAACAAGTGACAAAAGTTGTGCTTAGAGAATTAAAAAAAAAAAGTTTCTAAAAATAAAAATAGTTGATGGTGGAATAGTAAGAAAAGATAAAATATAAGGTATGTTATAAAAATTAGTTTAAATATAAAAGCTTAGAGAACTGGAAAAAACATCAAACGGTTCATAGGGAGTCTAAGAGAACAACTTTGACGCTAAAAGTTTTCTTTTAAAGATCTTTATAATAGGTTAGATACTAAGGATAGTGAAAAATATATGCATAAGCTTGACAAACAAAAAGAAAAAAAAGTAAAGAAGTAAAGTGTATTAAAGTTGAAAATCAAAGTGTTTTTCTTAGAGAAAGATATCCAAAATAGGTGGGTGAGTTATTTTGATACACTTTTTAATGAAGTTCGGAAAATACGATCAACCTTAGTTGCCTTAATATCGTTAATAATAATAAAATATTTCATTTTTACCATAGCATTATTACACCATCGCATTAATAAAAAAGAAGTTGAGACTTTAAAGAAAACCGAAGCTGGAAAGTCTATAGGACCTAATGATATCCCAATTGAAGCGTGAAAATATTTAGGAGAGTGAAAATATTTAGGACTTACTAAACTCTTTAATATTATTTTAAAAGCTAAAAAGATGCCTGAGAAGTGAAGGAAGAGTATTTTGGTCCCCATTTTAAAGAATAAAGGGATAAGGAAGAGTATTTATTTTGGTCCCCATTTTAAAGAATAAAGGGATGCATAAGAGTGTACCAAAGTCTCGGGGAACGAAACACACACAAACACACACATAAATATATGTATATATATATAAGACGACATAAATGTAAATACTGAATTTAGGTGTTTAATATGTTTTTATATCTTTTTAAAATTTTACATAAAAATATATACATTTTTATTAGTCATAAAAATATTATCCATAAAGTTTTAGTTCATTACTTTAAGACACGTGTGTCTCATACGCGTCCTACGTATGCTATGTGTGTCATCTTTTTTATTAATATTATTTAAATCTGACACTTTTGTGTCGTGTACAACACGTGTCAAAGTCATGTTAGAGTTGTGCCCATGTCCAATATGTGTCCGACACTGCATGGCTCCTTAAGTCGTTGTGTCCGTACATCAAAGGCAATAAGCTAGGTAAGGGGTCTCTGGGATGTGGAAGAGGGGCAACAATGATTATGAGTTGCTGCAACGGCAGAGCACCAAAGGAAGGTAATCCAAAAAAAAGTAATTTGTTGTTTGGGACGACTGCCCGATAGGAAAACAACAAACGGGACGGTTACGTGTTGTGGCGGCGACAATGAAGGGCAGGGACAGTGAGGGCAGCAGGGATGGAGGCGTGGCAGTGAAGAGCGAGGTGTGGGGCAGGAAAGGTTGAGGATAAATACTCCCTTGGAGACAAGCTAAAACTGAAGCACCCTTGACCCTTAGAAGGTCACCATCTCGGGCTAGTTAGAGTCAGAGCTTCTTCTTGTCCTTATATACAAACCTCGAAGGGGAACACCGAACGTCAACAACTGTCCTGACAGAAATTTGAGCTAAAACACAACAAATAATATATATAGTCTTAGTGTAAAGAATAGAGGGAACCTTGCGCAAGGAAGGACTGCTCGATCCTTTTACCACCTAGATTGAGATGGTTGGCACCTCTTAATGCTTTCGAATGGCGGACGACAGCTCTGTTAGGGTAATGCTTTCGAATGGCGGACGACAGCTCTGCTAGGGTTCCGAATGTTTCGAATGACGATCGCCATTGATTGTCACTCTAAGCTTCCGCTCCTTTCTCCTTCGTCGGTTCACACTCGTCTTCATCGATTCGCGCCTGCTCGACGCGTTCGCTTCTAACAGAGCCGCTCGATCCGGCGTAACGTCGCCTCTGGCGCCTGCGACAGAGCCGCTCGTCAGCCCAATTCACTGTTTTTCCTGCCTCAGCAACTTAGTTGTAGCTTAACGCCGACAACTCTCCTTGCTCTGATGGCGCCTCTTTATTTGGTTGAGCCGGACAAAGTCTCCTTTGCCCACGTGGTGGGTAACCCTCAGGTGGAGTCTGCAGTGGAATTCCCCTCAAGTTATAAGGAATCTCGTGGAGGCACAGATGATTGTTCTTTTATTAAGAAGGGAAATAAGAAAGGTGAAAAAGCAACAATCTTTTTCTTTGAATCAAAAATTTCTACCCTTACGAAAAAATTCAAGTTTGCACTTACTAAAAAATTTCAGTGGGGACACCCTCTTATGGATGTTATCAAAAAAAATGTTGATGATCTTAAACTAGTAGGTAAGTGGAAAGTGGGACTCATGGATATGAGACATGTGTTGATCCAACTAACAGTGGCTGAAGACTCACCAGAATTTTCTCCAAGAAATATCTTAATATCGAAGGAAAATCAATGAAGTTAATCAATGAAGTTACTCAAGTAATGAAGTTACTCAAGTGGTCTCCTAATTTCGACCCAAATCATTAAACTCCGACTGTATCGGTATGATTTAGTTTACCTGGTCTCAAGCTACATTTTTTTCATCATCAGGTTCTCTACTCTATTGGGGTCATCCTTAGGGATCCTTTGAAACTATATCTACCTACTTTCAACCTAACTAGACCCTCGGTGGCCAGAATACTTGTGGAAAGGGATATTACTTTATCTGATGTTACTGAAGTCTGGCTGGGCACAACTCATAATGGTTATTGGCAACAAATCGTCATGGAACACAACCCCCCATATTATACACACTGTAAGATGTTTAGTCATATCCTTGCTAAATGCTACAAATTTCATCCTAATTTGAAATCTAAGCTTCAAGTGAATAAGGATGGGTCTAACCCCACTGCTATGGACATTTTAGTTCCACTTGAGGAGTATATTACCAGACAAGAGGTGTCTGTTGCACCTGAGGACCCCCCATGACACTGCTGTTACTGCGAGTGACGCGAAGCTAGCACCTACAAACTCCATACAAAATAATACCGATGGACTAATACCTATAAATGATTGTGTTCAGACTGATAATCAGGAGAGCCTCGTAGTTCCACTTCTTAAAGAAGTATCTGGTATAGCGGTAACTCATACGTCACATATTGTAGAACCTATTGTGGGTATTACTGTTGGTAATCCTTCTGCTTCAGCTCTACCCCATCAGGCGGATTCTTTGGAGGAATGGCAGGTTTACACTTCCAGGAGGAAGAAGAAGAATGGAGATCTACTAGAGCTCAAGAGTCTTATGGATGATACTTTGGTTACTACGGGTAATGGTCAGCACCTTACCAATCTGCTAGCTGGATCACTACCGAGAACTAGAGCCAGAGGCAAGACTAGATTGGGATGACCCACACCTTTTCAGCGCCCGGGTGATTTTTGGATTTCTTTTTATTTCTATATATATCCATCTTTTACATTTTTTTTTTTGTGTGTTGTACTGTGTGGGTTGGGTGTTTAGGCCCACCCATACAAACCTATATCTCCATCTGTATATTTATCTTTAATATATCAGCCCTTGGTCTTTTTCATAAAAATATATATATAGCCTTAGGATAAAAATGAATGAGCCTTGTTCCAAATTGAAGGGAAAAATACGCAAGGAAAGACCGCTCGGTCTATATACCACTTGGACCAAACCGGTTGCGTGCAACAATTGTCGCGCCCACGCGGGCCTGGGTGCCCCTGCGTCGGGCATGGCACCCCGCGCCAACACAGCTATAGATATTTTTCTTCTTGGAAAACAGCTAAAATTCTTTATTGTACTCAATATGATTACCAAATTTACTCAAACATAGCCTTATGTTATAAGTTATACCTATTTATTTCCATATGGTAATAAGAAGCTGCTAGGTGAGAGAAAGTAGTTTGATCGGCCAGAGAGAGGTTGTTTTCCTAACTCATACACATGATATCCATGTCTCAACAGAGAACCGCCCCATTGGATAAATAGCGACGCAAAATGGAAAGAATTTTAGAGCAAACTATGAAGAAACTACAGTAAAGTTTTAAGCCATTTTCTTTCTAACTCTCCAGGCACAAAGTAATATTAGTACTATAGCAATAACAATATACAATAAGGAAACCTTACCGAAGATGAAAGCTATGAAAAATATAGTATTTACAAATACGAACTTCATTGGAACGGAATTTTGTTTTAGAAACCTAAAGAGAAATACAATTGGTGCTGCGTGTATTAGCAGTCAAATAGTGACAGAAGAACAAACAAGATTATTAAATATTGTAAGCTCTTGTATGATTATGTGATTAAGAGATGTTCAATACAATAAAAGGCAATTAAATCATTTACAGGATCTAATACAATACAATAATTAGTTATCAAGTTCTCAATCAAAGTATCAATAATAATAAACTTTAATATTATGCCCTTAAATATGTACTTTACACTTAGGTTGACATACCTTAATTAATTAATCAGTGACTAGGTAACTCGGTCTATACCAATATAATAACACACTAACTTGGGTTAATCATAAGGTAGACAGGATATTGACATGTTTATTTCCAGTATTAAGTATGCCAACTATTAATTAATTCTACTTATCAGTGAATTAGTTAATGAGACCGTGATAAATCAAAACTTCTAAAATGTAAGAAGTTCTGAACAGTGAGAACATCAATAACACGAATAGCAACAAGCTTTTCATCATTAAGTGTCTCAGTGCGCATCATTATAAATTGTTTGGTAACAAGTCCAAAAAAACAGTGGTACTATGAATAGTAGAAAGATTGATTATCTTCAATACCTTTTGTGCTTCAAAAATACTTGGTTCAACTGTTAAAACCATGATAAACAGTTATCAGTCAGACAATCCAAAGAGCTCCTCGCAACTATTTGGAAGTCTATACGAATATCCAATTACCTTCACAAAGACGTGGCTCCACACTCTGAGCACCCGAAGCACTGCACATCAAGTAAGCAAAAGCAAAGAATAAATTAAGCGAATACAAAGCTTTAGATCAAAATGAGATGCTCATTAACATTTTAAAAGTTATAGGGGATATTTCGATAATTTACCTGGCAAATATTTTCATAAAATTTTAAAGACTAAGCATGTTAAATAATTGGTAAAACAAAATGCCATCACATTCATTTTTAAACATAAAGACTATGTAAAGATTGTGCAAATTTAAAAGAAAACAATGGCATATAGATCTTAAGAAAAAGAAATTGTAGGATAGAGTTAAACCAGAAGTAATAGAATGAACCAATTCCATGCAGAACTAGACTAGCTTGGTCTTGCACTCCCGACCTAGCCGAAAGTACTTCAACCCACAATCTTTGTCGAAGTCTCATAATCATTATTGCCTCCAGTTCCAATTTCACTTCTCTCT